GAATAAATTTAAACGTGGAGGTAGAAGATCTCTATAAAGAAAACAAAATACTAATGAAAGAAACTGAAGAAGACACAAATGGAAAGACATCCCACGCCCATAAGTGAAAAGAAATTTTAATATCATTAAAATCACCATACTACCCAAAGCAATCTATAGATTCAATGTAATCCCTATCAAAATAATGATGCCATTTTTCACAGAAATAGAAAAAACAATCTTTAAATTCATATGGAACCACAAAGAGCTTGAACTTCCAAAGTAATTCTGAACAAAAAGAATGCAGCTGGAGGCATCACACTACCTGACTTCAAAATATATATCCGTAGCACTCTGGGAGGCTGAGGTGGGAGGATCGCTTGAGCTCAGGAGTTTGAGACCAGCCTGAGTAAGAGTGAGACCTCGTCTCTACTAAAAATAGAAAAAATTAGCCAGGCGTGATGGCATGTGCCTGTAATCCCAGCTAATAGGGAGGTTGAGGCAGGAGGATTGCTTAAGATGAGGAGTTTGAGGTTATAGTGAGCTATGATGAAGCTACTGCACTCTACTCGGGGTGACAAAGTGAGACTGTCTCAAAAAAAAGAAAAGAAAAGAAAAGAAATTACAAGTCTATAGTAACCATAACAGCATGGTATTGATATAAAAACAGACATATAGACCAATGGAATAGAATAGAGAATACAGAAATAAATCCATGTATTTATAGCCAACTGATTTTTGACAAAGGCACCAAGAACGTACATTGGGGAAAAGATACCATCTTCAATAAATGGTGTTGGAAAACCTGGATATTCATAGCAGAAAAATGCAACTGGATCTCTGTCTCTCCCTATATATAAAAATCAACTCAAGATGGGATTAAAGACTTAAATGTAAGACCTGAAACTATAAGAAACTTATAAAATTACTAGAAAAAAACATAGGGGAAACACTTCAGGACACTGGCTAAGAAAAGACTGTGGCTAAGACCTCAAAAGCACAAACAAAAACAAAAATAGACAAATGGGACTACATTAAACTAAAATGCTGCTTCACAGCAAAGGAAACAACCAACAGAGTGAAGAGACAACCTGCTGAATGGGAGAAAATATCTGCAAACTACTCATCCACAAAGGACTAATATCCAGAATATACAAGGAATTCAAACAAGAGTAAAAAAAAACAAAAACAAAAAAAAACACAACAAAAAACTCATTAAAAAGTGGGCACAGGACATGAGCAGACATTTCTCAAAAGAAGACATACAAATGGCCAACAGTTATGTGAAAAAATGTTTAACACCGCTAATCATCAGGGAAATGCAAATCAAAACCACAATGAGATATCATCTCACCCCAGTTAGAATGGCTATTAAAAAGATAAAAAGTAACAGATGCTAGCAAGGATGTGGAGAAAAGGGAACTCTTATACACCGCTGGTGGGAATGTAAATTAGTATAGCCACTATGGGAAACTGTATAGAGATTTCCCAAAAAACTAAAAATATTGCTATCATACAAATCAGCAATCCCATTACTGAATATGTAAGGAAATCAGTCTATCAAAGGGATACCTACCTACACTCTCGTGTTTACTGCAGCACTGTTCACAATAGCAAAGATATGTAATCAACTTAAGTGTCCATCAACTGACAAATGGATAAGAAAATGTGGTATATATACACAATGGGATAATATTTGGCCATAAAAAGGAATGAAATCATGTCATTTGCAGCAACAGGGATGGAACTGGAGGTCATTAAGTGAAATAAACCAGGCACAGAAACACAAATATTACATGATATCACTCATATGTGGAAGCTAAGTAAGTTGACCTTGTGAGTGTAGAGAATAGAATAAAGATACTAGAGTCTGGGAAGGGTGGGTGGGGGGATAAAGAGAGGTTGGTTAATGGGTACAAACACAGAGATGGATAGAAGGAATAAGTTCTAATGTTTGATAGCAGAGTGGGTGACTACAGTTAACAATAATGTATTGTATATTTCAGAATAGCTAGAAGAGAGGACTAGAAATGTTTCTAACGTATAGAATTGATAAATACTCAAGGAGATGGACACCCCAAATACTCTGACTTGATGATTACACAGTCTATGCAAGTAACATATGACACGTACCCCATAAATATGTACCAATATTTGTATCAAAAAAGATTACAGTTTAGATAAAAAAAAGTGAATCATAATTTAAAGATTACAGTTTAGATAAAAAAAAGTGAATCATAATTTAAAAGTGAATTTAATTTAAAGTATAGCATTTCCCATGGCCACTATCACGTTTTCAAATACAACAGCCACATCTTTAATCATTTGATACAAATATTATTTGGGTCTGTAGCCACAAACCAGCCTTTTCTCTACTTTCTTTTCTTTTAAATCACTGTTCCCTATTCCATTTCCTTCCA